CTTTGAAGCAAGCCAAAGGATTAATTGCATAAAATCGTTTTAATATGATATATTTAATATTTATTGAAAATTGCATAAAATTCCTAAGTTTAAAATATTTCGTGTGAAAACCCCTATCTGGTCCAATTTCAACCATTAAAATTGACAAAATTAAAAATGAATAATTGTAATTGAAGTCCCACACTTCTTATTTTTTTACAAATTATACTAAAAAAATTTATGTGTTACCCATAATTCCCAACATTTAAAATTTTATTTTCCATCCACCCCAACCGAACTTTGCTCTACCCTGAGCTTGTTTAACGGCAGTCCCACGCCACCCGTGGACAGAGCTTTCATGATGTTCGACTCATTACCAGACATAAAATACACCAAAAAATTGTCGTGATTCTAATTTGATGCTTAAGTTCTTACGCGTGATGTATAAATTATGAATTGAAGAGTAAATGAGAGCAAACGAATGAATTCTCCATATCTCTATGCAAGAAAAACGAGAGAGTACTTATATTTGATTGGACTTTTCACATCTTTCCTAATAAGATTATTCTTTTTACACACTGGATTATGTGAGGCGTTCACATATGCATCAGCGTGGCAAAAAAGGGCATGTAGGCTTTCAAGAGTGAGACACGTGTAAAGGACAAATTCTTCGAGAAGCTTAGCACGAGCCTATCCAAATCTGATCCGATATGAACCAAATCTGTCCGATCTGATCGGATAAGAATAATTATCTGATATGATCCGATAATCAATCGAATATTTGATTATTAAATCCATATTCAATTTGTTATGTTATCGGAATCCAATACAAAATTAAAGAAATTAAGAAAATAAAATCAATGTTGAAATTAAATTTTTCTTTTTCCAATTTTTCAATTTTTAAATGAGTTTAGTAATTATAAATTTTTCAATTTTTTTAACTTTTAGTCAATTAGATTGCAAGGTACAAAAGGTTGTTTGCACATTTATTGACTCACTTATTTATAAAGGATATTTCGAAACATTTTGTTTTAAACTTTCGATGTGGAATAAGAATTCATTTAATTTGGTTGCAGTACAATGTATCATTGATTTGGCTATAGTGTATTATACATTTGATTTGATTATAGTGTATTGTATTGTTATAAAAATAGTTATTTATACTTTATTAAATTAATCATTTTTCCTTATCTTTCACTAATTAATAAAAAACTAAAACTCTCCAAATATTTCAATTAGCAGTATTATATTATATCTTATTTATCGAATATTTTTTTTTAGCTTTCAAAACTGCATTTGATACTATAATTTGTATGTATTATCAAATAATTTTTAGATTGATTAAAAATTTAAAATAATATTAAAATAAGAAAATATCTTTTTTATTTTATTTTTTACGTAGGGGCTTTGTCTAACTTGCGTAGCCCGAAATATCCACACCTCGCAACAAATTACACAGTTTAGAAAATTGCGTACACGTGGTTTGGTTTTATGTTTTGAATTTGATGACTTTTTTAATTCTAAATTTATATATTTTAGTGACAAATAACATGCTATAAAAATATTTTACCGATTCAACTATTTATAACAAATTGGATTGAATTGTTATAAAATCAGATTGACCTATATCCCTATTTAATCAATTTAGTTAACAGATTATCGAATTCAAATATTGATTGGATTATCGGACTGAGACCCTAAACTCGTCTTCCATTAATTTGATCGAATTCGGATCAAAATTCAATCCATTGATAGTTCCATCAGTACCCATTATCCATTTTACCATAATTCATCTGTCGATTTGAGAGATAACAAGCACCAAAGAACGAAGGCAGTGCATGCTATTCATCAGCATCTCACTCTCGTCTCTTTGAGCCCTTGAGCGGTGCCGCTTTCCTTCCTTCAACACCATCAGCGGAATCGGTAGCATAGCTGGCAGCAATGATTCCTTTTTGGCAAAAGAAGGCATGAACCACTTACCACTGAACTGTGAACTCACTGAACTGGTAAAGAAGAAGAAGTCGATTCGACAGTTGATAGAAGAAGGTGAAGCCCGAAAGCCCTCTCATTTCTCTCTTTTTTCTATTTGTTATTTTGATTCGAGTCTTCTGTTTAATTAATATTTTATTTTTATAGGGTCTCGTGTATGATTTAAAATCATGTATCAATTTTGTGATTCTTATGAAATTCATTTGCAGGCAGAACTCACAAGCTGCTGGAGCCTGGAGTTAACTCAGTTAAGTGGAAGCAGGCTAAGGAGAGGACATAGGCGAACTTAATTCAGTAATTGGATGTTGTTTTAAGGTTAGACATAAGTTTTTGATTTAAAGTGAATTGGATGTTGTGCACTTAATTAAGTAAGTGAACTTAATTGGATGTTCGTGTTGTGCCTCGAGTTTTGTGAATTGCAGTCTGCAGACTTAGTTCTGAGGGTAGATACGATAGAATCGAGAGTATTTTGCTTAAGTTACTAAGTTATGAGGGTAGAGGGCAGATAAAATAGAATTAGTAAGTTTTTTACTAAGTATTATCAATCATTCCTCTTGCAGCAATGGATATATCTTCTGATCTTACAGAGCTAGGAAGGACTCCAATTGCTGTAATTTCTGCAGGTGTAAAATCAATAATGGATATCCCAAGAACCCTCGAATATATGATAATTTCTTATTACTCCAAATATTATAAAGAAATCCTATATCTTTATGCAAAATAAATGAAAAAAATATATATATAGTTTGTTGAACTACTAGAAATGCAAGGCCGCAAGGGGTTTGCATTACAGCATGTGAGACAGATGAGTTCCTTGCATTTTTCACAGAAACAAATGGCTGCAAGGTCGATTAAATTATGCCTGAACTGAACGAAATTCCTAGCTCTGCCCCGGTGATCGGATATGATCTTCGACATGTTTTAGGTAGGAAATATTGGTTGAGAAAGCTACCTTATCAATCTCTTAAAATTAGCACATGAGTTCCTCGAGATCAAGGAAGATATTACGAAATCAATTTCTACTAGAGAAGATTGGACAAGAAAATAAACTTAATAAAATAAACATACCGTAACGCAAGGAGTCACACCAGCCAATGAAAAATGAATCATGCTACAAGTACATTAAGTTTCACATCAAGTTTTACATTGTTCCATTGCGCCATCTCATTGGACAGTTTTTGAATTTAACACACTTTCCCTCCAAACCGTTTTTGA